CTAGTAATCAAATAAAACTAAGGAAACTGCCTTTCCGTAGCTAAATGTCTAATGTCTAGGGGCTACTTTTCTGTCTGGAAAATTGACACAAAATGTGTAAAATTAAAACATTCTGCTTCTAAGGGATTTGCCTAAAGGAAGAGCGAGAAAGCTTCAAGCATGGTCTGAACTGAAGAACTACAAAGGCTTACCACATAAACCTGTCTTCCTTATTAGAGCATTTCATTTGGAAATGTAGGTGACAATTTTACAGTCATAAAATTAATGAAATCTAAGACTGAGCATTTTAATGATGCATTTTGTGTTCCTCTGGATACATAAGGTCAACCTCAGAGTCCATCAACAGTTTCAAGATTTTTAACAAAACAAATTTCAGTCAAATTATTTGCACTTTGTACTAAAACCATTCAGGTAATTCAAAAACAATTTCATGTAAACCCAGAAAGTATTATTCCTACTGCAAACAGCAATGATATTTAGAAACAATACCCAGAAGAATTAAGTCTCCTTCTATTATTCAAAAGTGAACATTGACGTTTCTACTGTGCCACTTCAAATCTCAACTGGCAAAATTATTATTTAAATTAAAATATAAAAAGTAAAACTAGAAAAAAAGATCCAGTATAGTATACGAGCACAACAAGGTATATTACAATATTCCTACTGTGGTACCCCTCGTTCTTACGGGACTGCATTAGCTCAACAGTTTGTGGAGAGGGAGGAGGTGACACAGCAGGATTCACACCGAGAGCTTCACAAAGCAGCTGTGCAGGTTAAAATAAAAACCAAAACAAAACAAAACTTGCAAAAGAATAACACACAACTTCTGGAGAATAATCCAAGTTTTATTTTCTCATCTTACTATGGTTTTGCACTTACTTGCTCTCTTAATTTGGCCACTGCAGTCAAGTTCTGCATGTTCATTTTAGACAATACTGTATCACAATTAAGTTCTCCAAACAAAAACGCCTGAGATAGCTACCTTTGGGGATTTTTTTATTTCACTGTATAAACATACAGAGAACTCGAACAAAACATTCTGATTTGGGAGAAAATTCTGTTTACACAATTCATGCACACGTGTATATAAGACATAAAAAACCCACAGAATTTTATATGTACAAGTATATTTTCTGTTTCAAACTATCCAGTTTAAAGCAGGACCATGTGGCTGCAAATTCAGAGATGATTTCCCTTAATTAGTGTTTCAGATGAAGAATGAATTATAGAGAGAAGCCCCATAAACTACAAGACTTTAATCTTAGAAGCAGCTTTAGGTTGTTGGTGTACAACCTGAGGACGAACAGCCTTTTCTTCAGTTTTCAGTTAAGAAGCCCATTCAGCAGTTCAAATCTTATCTCTTTAGTTGTCCTGGTACAGGTTAACACATGGCCTGGTACCATCCACAAAAGACATTCACAAGAGAAAAGTTGTGTCCTGTTCCCACTCATCAGCCTATGCAAATTTCTATAGTATTTCCTTCTCATCACTTTGACTGGCTTGTTCCTGATCTTCTTTTCAGAGATTCTTACTTAGATTTTAGTTATTTCTGACCATTTCATTTAGTTAATTTTTCTGTATTTGACTATCTCTAGTTGTCTTTAAGCCCCAGTCAACAATCTGAATATATTCCTCGTTTGAGGCGATATACATGTATGTGCATAAGTAGATGTGTAGTTAGACATGGTATTTACGTACACCTGCATTTGTGTGTTTATATAAAGGTATATGACTATTGTGTACATATCTGTGACAGACAAGTAGTTTGACTTGCTCATACATCAGAGTCATCATGTGTATATACACACAGTGAATTAAATTTATGCTATTTTGATATATGGAAGAAAGCAAGTGTGAACATGCATACACACTCTTTATATATATAAAGACAGCATTTGTTTGTTAAGATTTCTTTGATTTTGGTTAATTTAAGATTAACAAGCATGTACAAGGGAAAGCCAGATAAAATGCCAAAAGAAATCTGCTAGTGAGTCTTCTTTCACTTGGTCACTTTCAACGAATCTTGGATTCAGAGCAGAAACCAGACTGGATACTAAAACACTTTGGATGGAAATACTGATGCATTCTTTCTGTCTGAGCTAAAAACAACAAACACACAAATTGGAGAGAAATGGACTACCAAGCTACAAGTACGATGCTATAAAGCTAGTGTTGTTAAGCATTCAGCTATGCATTGTAAATTTGAAATTGTCAGAATAAAAGCTATAAAGGCAATGCTTTGATTACGGTTTGGTGAAAAATTATAGCTTGCCACTTTTCATTTTCCTAGTTATTTCTACCAAGTAACAGACTAATCTTTAGCTGATGTATGTCTGTGGGGAAATGTTAAAAGAAATACCCAAGTTTACACCAGCTGAGAATTTGCTTCCTTCGCTTTGCAGCACTACATACGGTATTTAAATGTGCATACTTGAGTGTGCATAACTGATTAAACATTTGTTACAACAGTATTAGAAACCAGCCAGCCAATGTTAGGAGTACAAGCAAAAAATTTTGGTTTTAGCTTGATGAAGGAAGAAAAGGTTAAGTCAGAGAAAAGAGCTAAAAGCATACACATACATTCTCTCTCTGGGCCCTAACAAGATACACTGACAAAAGGTATCACAGAGAAAAGGGTTAAGTATTATACACTCCAGTTAAGTATTATACACTCCAAAATCCTAAAAATTAAATCTTTCTGAAGTATTATTAAAAACCTATTGTCAGGATCACAGAAAGTCAAATTAATTTCCAGAATAAAATCTTTTCCTTTTGCTATTTTCATTATATGGTAGTAATTATTATTTCTTGCAACATTTATAGCAAATACTTATTTTTAAATTACCCTTATTTTTAAATTACCTGCCCAAAAACATCCAGTGTACTGGCTCTCAACATTAGTTTGGAATCTGTTTAAAAGCTCACAAAAGACTTGATGTGATATTTCCAATAATTTTAGCACTAGTCTACAAGTTTCTCTATTGTCTGGTCTTTTTTTCCCCTCTGCGTGTTCTTTTACTGATACTCTTTTACAAGTCGATGTTGGGTTTGTCTCCCTAACTCATGGGGTCTATCCTAATGACATCTTCCACAACTGCCCGACTTCCACGTTGTCCAAATACTTGATATTCTGCTTTTCTCCATAAGCTCCCTAGCTTACTCTCCAAAATTCTCCAAGTTGCCCCTCTGCTGCCAATGGGTTTGGCTCTTCGGCAGCACATGGCTCCTCTTTCACCTTGTGTTTGGGGATTCTCACTTTTAAAGCAATTAGACTTCAATCTTGTTGTTCTCATGTGCTACTGAACTGGATGTTCCCATTTCCTCTATGGACATTACAGGCTGCTAGGCTCTTAATTGAAGTGGCAAATTTGCCTTTTAATTAAAGCACTCTGCCTTTTAATTAATTTCATTAAAAGCATTTTAGGACAGCTAAGCAATCGTTTTTTTCATTACCAAAACAATTACCTTACATGAGAAGAAAGAGAAAGCAGAGGGAGAAACAAAGTATTTCACTGGGGTCAATTTCTCCATCATCAGTATCTCTTCTGCAACAAAGCAGCATGCTCTTTATTGAGAATTATCTGGGTCTGGCATTTCTTATATCTGATATAGTCTGGCCAAAGAACATGGAAGATACCCCCAAAAAAATCATATTTCCAGGGAGAGGAATACAGGATAATGTGCTTTGTTGTTAAATTGACCGGATACTCACCAAAGATCTCATTAGAAAGTAAAAATATCCACATAATATTCAAAGCCTCTAAAGCCACAGTGTATTGTTCTCTGCTTTTAAGCAGAGATTTCATGTTATTTGAATAGAATTATTTAGCCTCACACAAGAATACCATCACATGGGGCTTGGGACCACTTTTCATGTGAAACCAATGGTAAGACTGTCGTAGAGAAATGATACCCTGATAGAGAAGTATAACACATTATCAGAGGATTTGCAAAAGATAATTTTTTCGTATATTTTTCTCATATCGACTCCTTGACTCAATTTTTCTTATACCAGCTTACCTTAGAATACAGAGGCAGACCTTGCCTCCTGACGTCAAACGGCAAAATCCGAACCTTTGCTTACTTTCAATGTCGGTGAGCACGAAGGTAAAATGCTGTCCTACTTGGTTTTGGGACACCCTGAAAAATTAGATACAGAGCATAAAACCATGGAATCACATAAGAGACAAGCATTTAAGTCGCTAGTCTCAAGCATTTTCATGCTCAAGCCCCACTAATCCTTCTCTCCCTTCCCACCCTCCAGGCTGCCTCCCGCACCCCACTCCCTTCCCTCGGCACAGAAGAGCCCAGGTCCTTCCTTCAGCCGTGCCTCCGGCTGCCACCTCGGCCCCGTGCTCCAGCTGCCATGCTCCAGCCTGAATGGACAGGGCATTTCACAAGCTCTTTTCCTAAGTAAGGTCTAAGCAGAACCAGTACAAGCCTGCCACAGCTTGTTGGCTCTGAGCACACCTCAACAGTGGAAAATGGTAACCAAAACAAAGGTTTAAAATTCTACAAATAGTTTATTAAATATCATAATACAGTCCTGGCTTAAGACAGACGTTAGAAAACTAGCTTTGGGGTTTTTTTTTTTCCCCTTCACCATAGCTTCGTTGATTAAATGTGTAGCCTTCCGACACACCCACACACATTGTCCTCCCTTTTTTGCACTACACGGTGCCCAAAAAGCAACTTTTTGCTAAGTTCCTTTTCCAGTGCAAATGTGTTTGGTTCTGGAAATGCAAAAGCCAGAAAATAATCAAGAACAAATAGCACGAGAGCTAAAATAATAACAACATCTTCAAGACTGTATCAAAAGATGTACCCACTTGAGATAGAATACATTTACACAAAATTTCCCTGCCTGATGTTCCAACTCCTCTCATCCCCAAAGTCTGCTCAGCCAGCGTTCCCTCAGCAGTGCAGGCTAATCTGTTTTGTTCTCAGTTTCTACCTCCCCTCCAGTGTCACACCTCTGACTCCTTGTACTCATCTCCAGGTCCCAGTCCCAACCTCCATTCCTGACCCCTCACTTTCTGCTTGACAGTATGAACCTTTTCCCAATTCCTTTTTAAGAAGAAACGGCATCTTCACTGCCATGACGTGTCTCATCTCCCTTACACTTTCAAGCCAGGCACCTTTCTCTCTTGTGCAATTTGTCAGCTTCAGACAGAGGATCACTGAGAGCATGGGACAGACCTGCTTTTCAGTGTGGCCAAACTTCGGTGATCTTCATAGAAATTGCAAAATATATTCAATGTAAGCATTTTAGAACACCAATAAACTGTACGTGAAGTTCACTCACAGCAATACATATTGCATTTTTCCAAAATCTCCCAAAGAGAATCAGCTTTAGGTAGACTTGGCATTTTCAGCCAGGAGAGGTAATGTGTGGCATAGAATGGTTTGGGTTGGAAGGGACCTTTAAAGATTTAATTAAAACCAAATGAAAACAAAGTTATGACAGGTAGTGCATGGAAATTTGAAAATGTAAAATGTAGCAGTTCTGCCTGTAATTCTGTTGTCCGCTCTTCTCTTCCCATTCTTACATGATCTTCTACAGCAGAATACCTAAGCACCTGCTCGTAAGCGCTACAATTATCATGTATCATGTGTGGTTCATTCTTAGATGCCAAGCTGAAAATGAAATCCTGCAGAAGCTGAGAACCATTGCAGAACTCAGTCGTACAATCTAAGAGCACAAAATATTTTTTTAATTTGTCCCTTGCAATATGGGTTGGGTTTTTTTGTTGTGGCTTGGGGTTTTTTTTGGTTTTTGTTTTTTTAAATCTTCACCAAAATAAAATATAAAAATTTTCGCCTAGGAAGGAAGTAGAAGATGATCAAAGGGCAAGAGAAGTTACATGGGGCACATGCATATCCCACTGCTTAACATGTGCATGACAAAAGCTTAAAGATTATTTAAGTGATACCGCTACCCAGACTGCAGTCTCCCAGTCATTTCAATTTGGTCTAGTCCCTCGTGAACACCCAGTGACTAGGCTGAAACAAAAGCCTGTGCTGAGCATATACAACATCACAAGATACCTCTAGTCCAATATAATCACTGGAAACCCATGATAATTAATGGACTTTTTTTAGTTAGGTAATCCAACTCAAATCATTAAGACAAGCATTTTCCTCGCTTGTCTTCAATAGACTGGAACAACCTAGTGTGCTCTTTAAACACAGTAAATGCTTAATGGCTTTCACTCAGTCCTTCATTTTTCAGGTTCTGCGTAGCTAGCATGCTGCCTGTATGTTATGCTTGATACAATAGAGGGCCATCAATAACAATGCGTTATTACTCCCCTGCCAATGATGCAATTTTCTATTTCACATCTTTGCATTTCCCCTCTTTATTCCTGAGAGCAGATCGCCATCAAAACCTGCAATATGGTTTCAGTATCCCTGCGCACACTGTGGCTGGGGGCTTTCACAGTAATTCAGCAGTAGCTGGTCAGTCAGCAGCACTGGTGACGCACCTCGGCTGCCTCATGCTCCCACGCCTGCTCTGCTCTGCTGTGTCCCACCATCAGGCTCGGCGCTTTCTGCAGCCACAACTGGCTTTTTATTATACCGCAAAACACCTGGCAGGGTTAGACTGGCATCTCTGTGCATCCATCTTAACCCAAAGAGATCATTAATAATTCACAAAAAGCAATTGTTAATAGATGCCTGTCTATGCAGGTGTTGCTTTTAATGTACTGTGTACATGTATGTCAGACAAATGACTGCTCCATTACTGTTTGAAAACAATTCCTTAGCCCAAAAAAACCTCACATCAGTAAGGATCTCTTCAGTTATTTGCCCCCTCCCTTCCCAAAACCTGAAGATGACATGGGAAAATAACCGGTATTGCAATTAAAGCATACGTAAACATGTCACTACAAAAGACCACACTAAAAGTGAGATTTACATTCTGATATTCTCCATTAAAAACAGCCAGCCAAGTTATGAAAGTTCAGAAGGAGGCAATTCCAATGCCATCTCACCACGTCCAACTCAACGTCTTCCCTTTGCTTCTTCAAGAGAGGTAACTCCATGTTTAGACAGTCAGTGTAAAAGTGGCCCAGCTTGAAAACCGCTTCTCACAGAGTTTAGAAGGAGATGTAAGCAGCTTGTTACAGATTTTTGAACTGAGGAAAACTCTAAGGCTAAAACTGAATCTCCACAAAGAACCCAAAAGTTTGCATTTGGTCCCGTTTGCTTCAAAGGAACAGCTAACAGAAGCCAGTGACCATCCATCTGGACCGCGTTTTCTGATCAGTTTAAAATATTGAATTAATTCTGGGTTTCTAATTTGAAAACTCCACTGAAGGTCTGGGGGCAGCAAGGATGCCTTGTTTTTCACTCCTCTTCAGCAGAATTAAAACTGACTACATGTAAGCCTTACAGAAACAAACAAATGATTTCTGTATATCAATAGATAACCACATAAAACATTCAAAAAGTACTAGCACTACAGTTTTAACATATATATTGCATGGAACATCACATGGACAAATGTTGGCTATGAGACTTGGGGCCCGTGCCTCTTTGTTTCACTGCAGCACATTCAGGTTGTTCAGAAGTCAAGTCTCACCTTCAGAGGCAGGTAGTAGCTCCTGGCACGGCTACTGAACCACAGCAGTGATGCCTCTCAAGTTTGCCTTAACGTGAAAATCAACACAGGTAAAACGCAATCATTACGTTCCAGAATTCC